AATCATTTGTTATATATCAGTTATTATTATTTGTAAATTATAAGCTACAGGTAAAGTATATTTCGGTTGTCTCTGCAAACAGACTGTATCCGATAAAATGACGATATGTTCACTAATTGTGTTCATTTTTCTATTTATTTTCAAATTTAGTTGAACAAGTTACCGACAGTCCACCTATAACAATAGATGAAAAACACACTACAGTAGAAACAGTAACACGTAGGCCTACGCCAAGCAGTGTGCCAAACAGTACAAGTAGTAAGTACGGTACTTGCTGCCTACCAGCATTGTACCCTATATTCTGCATATCGGTCGTGAGAAGGAGTAAAGGCTCTTCCCGTCACCTGGATGATAATGTACATATTCATATTATTATGCAATTACCATATGCTATCAGTGATGGTGAACTTTATTTACTGAAACTCATATTGATCAAGATATATTCAAATAACTCTTCAGAGATCAAAGAAACAGAAACACCATTTCACCAACATATCATATAGACTGACCTGATTTAATTTCACATGTGTCTTAATGATGCGGGTATCTAACTAAGATAGTCAACATTAAGCGGAGAAAGAAAAACGAATAACAATCTGAAATGTAAATTTAAGTGTGATTAAGTTAAATATTGACAAGTTTAGTTTGCTGGTGTTGCTTAAATATTGCAACGAACGATAATTCATGAATATTTATTAATGAAGTGCATTTGAAAATAGATTAATCAAAAGAAACCAAAATTAATTTTGTATGAAATGTCCCATACGCTGTTCTTTGCAATACAACCAGGGCTTTAAGCCAGTAGGCCTATTATTAGTCATTCGGTTTGCAAACATTTTAAATAACTTTGTTTTTTTGCAGAGAGTCAGTGCCAATCCTTAAATACGCCTGGAGATGCCGTCATCGTAGGTGACAGTATGACAGCCTATTACAGCGGTGATACCATCGAATATCAGTGTCTAGATGGTTTTGAACGAAACTTAGGGGACAATCGGAGAGTGTGTGAATTAGACGGACAGTGGTCCGGCACAGATCTTCAATGTACTAAGTCAGGTAATGTTTATTTTTCAATAATACTAACCCAGTTTTCTTTAAAATGGGAATGTTGTTAGTCAGAATAAAAGTATGGCTCCAACAAGTTGAGAACTTCAATACATTCCCCATTTAAAACCAGAATATCTGTTCGGGGATTATGACAAACCCACAGGCTCAGGGCCTATTATTTTGACTGAAAGATATACAGGGGTATGATACTGTAAGTAGGGCGTATTATACGTGACTAGTATGGTACGTCACTCTTATCATCAATTAATATTGAGAAATCCTTAAATTGTCTTGTTGCACAACTAATTATTCTAAAGCTCTGTCTAGACTAACAAATTTTATTTGACAAAAACTGTAGTATGCCCATATATAGTTATGATGTGCCTATATATGGTCATGATGTGATGTCATCATGACCATATTTAGGCATGTCGCATGTTTTTGTCAAATAAAATTTGATAGCCTAGACAGGACTTAAGACATAACAGCAGGAATGTTTGACGAAAAAATCGGTAACGGTTAATATGCGATTTTTGAATATTAAAACTGAGGAAAAGGGGCGTAACAACCCTTTTTCTATCTATTCTCCCTCTCTTTCATAACTCTCTCTCATTCTCTGTCTACACCATACATGTTTTCTAACTTTAATTAATTTAGCCTACTATTTTATTTTAGGTGTATACGTTCCGCAGTATGCATTGTACATTGCTGGTGGTGCTTTATTTCTGTTAGTTATTTGTCTCATCTGTGTTATATTCTACAAAAGGTAAAGTCTAAAAGAGAAAATCAGATAACTCACCTGATGATGATGATGACTTTGATGATGATGATGATGATGATGATGATGATGATGATGATGATGATGATGACGACGATGATGATGATAAAGGAAGAGGAGGACGATGACAATAAGGATGAAGATGTGGATGCCTATGAAGATGATGATGAGGATGATGAAGAAGATGATAAGGATGATGAAGATGATGATGAGGACGATGGCGATAATGATCAAGATGATAATGATGATGATGATGATGATGATGATGATGATAATGATGATATGACGATGAAGACCACGATGATGATGATGATGATTACGACGAAATGGTTATAATGATTATGATCATTATCCTGATAACCATGATTATGAAGAATAGATTATTATTTTTTGTTTTTTGTAACGAGTCATAAATAAAATGGCTTATGAATAAATTATTGCAACTTTCCACATAGGCCTACGAGTACAATGTGTTTATCTGTGACCGTATAAGATATGTGATAGTTTTCACGTTTACGTCATATTTATGACCGTCGTCATCTGTATGGGATTTGATTACAGTATTTTCATTTAAAGTAAATGTGTATATTTAGTATATTTATGGCTTCCTCTGCTAAAATAATGTACTCATAAATAACTGGTATATACAATTTATGGCAAACACATATCATAAACTGATGTATATAATGTTGTTATAGGCCTATTTCGCTTTCATCCGCCTTATTATGACCGTATACTGGTTTCTTATCTAGATAAATGGTGTATTATTATATTTTTATTGATTACCATGGACAAATTATTATTATTTTTTTTATTTGTTGTATATCGATTCATTCAGACATTTGAATACAATGTCAAGAGACAAATCCGACATACAATAACACATCATGAGAAAAACAAGTTTGCCTGATGTAAAAAGGGACACAATATAATATATTATTACATATAATTATTTTTATTTTATTTCTTCCCCATAAAACCTTCCGAGTGAGAAGCCAAGATGTACAAACCAGAAGGCAATACAAATAATGGTGATAATTAATTATAAATACTATCAAAATCGTTATTACATAAAAGATATTTGACACTATCACATATACTGGGGTTTAAACTAATTATGTTAAAAATGCAACTTAACATGTTTACAATATGTACCGTAAAATGAAAAATAGACATAATCAGGGAACGATGATCAGTAGGCCTATAAAAAAAAATCATTAATAATAGTAATAATAATAATAATAATAATAATAATAATAATAATAATAATATGCAGATTTTTATATAGCGCTTTATACAACACGATACACACGAGAAACTAAAGTAGGCCTACCCTTAATAGATGGCTCATTACTAAAGTAACACTTAAACATATGTGAATAAAGGACATGGGAAATAGAGAAGGATTTGCTATATACGGTCTAACTCAAAGCACTTTATGACATCACTAATTTTAGGTACGTTATTGGCATGGATAACAGGAGTGCTCCGACAAAATTTAGGAATACAGATTGCGGCCTACAGAAGCTTATTTTGAAACTTATTGAGTTTAATAATAAGAGAATCACTTAAGTTATTATTAATAATGTAAATTTGTACATGCTGATATTGCAAGCACAGGGGTGTCCATCAAAATGTTCAGTACAGTATATAAAGTGGAATTAAGTGCATATACGTGGGTGTTCCGTTTGGTTTGCTTTAACAATTACCATCATCTTGTTTTCTTTGCACTTTAAAAAGAGTGTTGCCCTACTCAATGAACAAACACTATATCCTATCACAAACACCATTGTCTTACCTGGAGGTTAAAATTCATTGAAGCCACAGACGCTATAGGAATTCAGTTATTAAGTACAATATTTCCTTTTTATTCTTTCTAAATTAGGAAACATCTGAAAGAAGAAAAACCTGAAGAAAACTACAAATCATCGGCATCTTCGGTACGCAGTGACCAGAGTTTGGTTTTCCATTCCCCTATCTACGAAGAGCTTCCTCAGTTTGCGTTGGTCAAAAGTAAAACATTACCGGCACGACCACCGGCTCTGCCACATCGCTGCCCCTCCTGCAGTGAAGAAAATTCATTAAAACGTCATAATACTACTACTAGACCAAGAAGCATGCCTGTGGATTTAAAGAAGAAGGGGTCTTTTTACGTAAAATACCGCGGAAAACCTTATAATTTATATGACCTTCCTCCAATCGAAGCACATTTTGATACGAACTATGAACTACCAAAATCGGACCCACCACCGCCCCCTCTCCCTCCAGGAGAGAAACGGCCAACGCATTTTGTTCGCAATCAAGTAGAAAAAGAAAGACCTATTTCTTCGGAAAGTGTTGAACTTCAATCACCAGTAGGCGAGCTGTCATCTACGTCTACAGCAACAGAGAACGGGATGGCCGGCATTGCAAATCCCGCCTTTAAGGTTGAAGATTTTGAATTTATGAATGGTATATTGTCATCTACAATGAACACACAAGTATCCGAACTTTAGCATTGTTGTATATAATATAAAAACTACCTTATTAAAAGTAGGCCGATAAAAATATTAATAATAGGATGGAAAGTAGAAATATTTTTTATTAAAAATTAGATTAAAGGTATTCGCATGGCAACATCGGTGGGGATAGAAATTTTAATTCAAAACAATGATTTTGATATTGAATTAGATAATTAAAATGATAATGAAGATGTGGACAACAGTAATTTCTTTGGCGGCAAAAAGAAAATGAATTAAATAAATAAGAATCAGAAATATGTAAGTATGTATGTGTAATCATGATAATTCATTGACGAATCCAGACTTTTTTTTCGGGGCGGCGCGAGTGGCAAACTGTGGCCCAAAATGGGCGGAACCTATGTAGCGATTAGGGTACTCCTTAACAAACGGTGGGGTTCAACGAATCCCCGAAAACACAAAACGTTATTATAACATTCGCGGACGTTGTAAACGTTGTGCTTAGGGTATGCTAGAAAATAGGCCCTACACAACGTTGCAACAATTTTTCAACGTTATTTTGTTAGAAATGACGTTGATGATGATGATGATAATCATGAGTATGATGGTAAGGAAGGTGATAGGGGACATTAACGATAATGACGATATGATTATTAAAACAATTATTCATAAGGACCATATATTTCAACTTTAACTATGCAGTAATGATTTATATAATGATATACATATAATTATACTTTGTGAATGATGCAAACGAAATGAAAATAATGACCTTTTTGCTGCAAGGAAAGACAAGAAGAGAACGATGATTACGACAATGACGATGCATACGAAAATTGTGACATTTATAATTACAATAATGATATCATTCAAAATGTTAGTATATTATATTTCTTGTCATTTTATAATTATCCTATATGAACATTAACCCGTTTGGGAGAGCTTCGCCCCCTGGACCACGTTCGAAACCTTTTAATAGAAGCTCGTCCACGGCCACTTGCCTTTCGTCGGGGAAATCCTACCCCTCGTCGGGGGAGTCGGCCCCCTGTCGGGGACCTACCCCCCACCCCGTCTGGTGAATCTTAGAGCCACCCCTGAGATCATCACATCTATGTTTCTGAGTAGAAAGATGGGAAATTGAGAAAATATGTTCGGTCAATTGACATTACAACAATTAAATACAATTAGAAACGAGTTTGAATAGTTATATAAAAACTATGTTTAAATGTATTTTTTTTACAAATAAATATGTCAAAAGTTCCTGTTTTTACCAAGCTTTGTCGATTTCATTTCTGTTGAGTTTACTGTCAATTTGCATAAAGATGAAGATGGTCTGAATCTGGTCTCTTGTAGGTCTATAATTGCTACATAGACAGTTTAACACTAATTTATATTAGCCAACTTTTGTGCCATATTATTGATGCTTCTGTTCCATCCTTAGCACCAACTTTACCTTTAAAATGTATACCCCATTTTTTCAAGACGTTTTTTTTGTAAGCACAGTAGTAGGCTTAACCTTGGCCTATCTTCCTGGGTTGTACTGAGGTCCCAATACTCGGTCTTTTCGCAAAGGTACGATCAATAGTTTACTCGCAAATATTAGTTCGTTGATATACCGTAGGCCTAAGTATCTATATCTAACCTAAAGTACTAAAACTAACTAACTATATATATATATATATAT